GCGCCCCCCCCCAGGGCTCTCACCAGCGAGCCAAGCTGGACTCTGGGCTCAGCCTCCCTCCCTGAGCCCCAGGGAATGGGGCAGGCTTGCGATGCTGGGCCTCCTACCCCACCACGCACCAGCTCTCTGAGGATGCGGCTTGACCCTATTTAGGATCTCAAGACCCACCCCAATACAAACAGTCTGGAAGGACTGTGGTCACGCAGGGGGCACCCAGGTGTGAGGCTGCCCAGGCCTGGGGCAAGTTGGTGGGAGCGGAGGGTGGGGGAGCGAGGATTGGGATGGGGGTAGCAACAGATGTGGGACAGGAAACAGCACTCACAATGTTCAGCCTTGATCATCTCCTGGAAGTCCTGCTTGGTTTTCTTTTTCATGATGGACTCGCAGGCACCAATATCTGCATAGCCAAGAGAGATGGCCACTTTGGAAGAGTAACAGGCTCCGCGTATAGCTTGTCCCCGCAGCCCCACTACGGACACTTGCACGAACTAACAGCCTCTGCTATCCTGCCCACTGCTCAGATCATCTGCCCCTCCTGATGACTAGCAGGGCCCTTCAACCCCCCCTGCTTTCCCCGTGAACCCAGGCACCCGCTGCAGCGGCCGAGGGCCTCTCCCTCCCCACCGTCCCAGCCCCGGCTCCTACGCAGGCTCAGCAGGCGATGCTCTTGCTTTAGTCCCTTCAGTTCCTGGGAGACAAAGTTCTTCATCTGCTTGATGTCCATGCTGCGGCGCCGCTGCGGAAGAAAGAGCATCCGGGGATGTGACCCGGCCGCGGAGGGACGGCACCACAGGCATCCCACACACCAGGGTGATACTCACGTCATACTGTGCCTGCAGGTTACGCGACTTCTGGCTCAGGAAGCCAAACACGCTGGAGAAGTGCTCGTTCCGAATCTGGCTGAAGACCTGCAGAGAGCACCGCAGCAGTCGGCGCCAGGCCCCACACTCCCCTGTGCCAGCACGGGGCCCAGCCAGCCACGGCCCCCAGCACCGCAGCACCCGGAGCTGGCGCTTGCCAGCAGCCTGAACGACAGTGAGACAAGGTGGTATCCCCGACGGGAAGGTCACTGCCCCAAAATTCCAACTGGCGAGCACGACACCCCCCTGCATGCAGGGACTCTGCTGACTACAAGGAGCCGAGCTGCGCCTGCAGACCATGTTCCTCTGGTCTCTGTACCCTGACCCGTCCCAACCTGCACTCTGAGGCCCAGCAGCACCCGGCCACCGCCTGCTCAGGCTTAGGGGAGGAAACACCCCGCACAGCCTCCTCCCGGTGCCACCTGGGCACGGAGCATGGGGGCACCCACTTCCCCTGAGGTACGTGAGCAGGACTCACTTTGTCCTGGGCATTGAGCAGCACCTTAATACTCTTGTCAGAAGAGGTGACGTCTGGCCCAAAATCCACGCTCCCTGCAGAGAAGGATGAAGAGCTGCTTTGCCCTAGCACCAGCAACATCCTGGCACACGTCGGCCCTGCTGCAAAAGGCAGCAGAGACAGGCGATGCCCGCCCAGCTGCTCGGTCAGACCAAGGGCTGTCCTCGTGGACAGCCTCCAGCAGCACCGCACACCGGGACTGTCCCTGTGGGCACAGCTTCGGCTGCAGCACGCAGGCCCTGGGTCTGACGATGCCAGGCACAAACCCCGGAGACTCTCCCTATGCGGGTGCGGAGCCCTGCGACGCCCCATTGCCTGCCCCGGCGACCTACCGCACTTGATGCGGAACGTGTCGTCCACCAGCCCCTCGTACACCACCTGGGAGCACAGCGCCGTCACGTAGTCTGTGTCTGCAATGAGAGCTGGTGCCCAGGCTGCCCTCCTGCGCCTCCCCTGCCCGCCCTCGCTGCCCAGCCCCAACTGCCACGGCCAGCCGCCCCGCACCTCCTGCTGCTCCCTGCAGCCAGCGCAGGCTCTCTGTGCCCCGTTCGCTGGGAGATCCTTCTCTGGGCGAGCTGCCGGCCCAAACTGCTCCTCCTAGGCCGACCCTCACCCGCTGCCCCCCTCGCTCCAGCCTACCTCTGTCCATGAGGAAGATGTTGCCAATCTCAGGCTTCCTGCCCTGGCCATCGCCCTCGCTCGCCTCCTCCAGATCCCGCCACAGCTCGTAGCTCATCTGTGACAGGCAGAGCGTGCCAAAGCCCGGGGGAACAGCCCCAGGCTCCCACCAAGGGCCGCAGCCTGCCCCAGCACCAGCCCCTCACGTGCCGCTGTGGTGTGCCAGCCAGGACACGGGCCAAGGTGGCCCATCGGGACAGCCAGCTGCAGCGGGCCCGGGGCTCGCCGACCGAGGCTGGGCACAAGCGCTTCTCCCTCCAGGGCACGGGGTGCTCTGCAACACCCCAACGAGCAGCAGACGCTGCCGCAGCTCCTCCTGCCCAACCTCGGCACACGCAGTGCTGGCTGGGAGAGGCAGGACAGCAGGGCCCCCCTGCAAACCTGCCGAGCCCCCAGAGCCGCCTGGGAAGAGGCAGCAGCGCAGTGCCACCCTATGGCGATGCAATGCCACATG